GACCACCCCCCCCCCCCAAATAGCTGCACCCTACCCTATGCTATTGCAGAAGTAGATGTGCTGTTGTAAATCCAGCAATTCCACTGGGAAATAAAGGCATGAGGAATGCATGCACTGCTGTGCATCCCAGCACAATGTCTACCTTTCTGCAGAGAATCAAACATTTTGTTGGGAACAAGGCATGTGTGGAGCATGTACCTTCTTTCCAGAACAGAAATGTTGCAGGAAGGCAGTGAGAATATGCAGAGGTGGACAGTGGTGGTGACCAGAGAGTGCACCAACAGCATTGGTTGCTCACACGCAAGCACAGACAGTGTGTTGTCCATCGTTGATGTAGGAGGAGAATTCAAAGACATTTCTTTTTTCAAAACATAGGTTATGTCAAAATTCCAATGCTAATGTATAAATAATACCATGGAATAAAACACAGTGAAATAATACCATATAGAATAAGATGGAATTTTCTACAAACTGAGTAAAGCTCCTGTTAGATAGGATGACTGCAAATCTAGGAGAGACGTGACAGCTATGACATCTGCCTGGCATAAACATAGGGAAATTCCAGCTTCAATCTAGTAACATCCCTTGGGAGTTCTGCTAAATAAATCTGGGGTTAGCTTTTCCACCTGTTGTGGTTGTGATCACATTCCCCATTAAGAATCAGTTTGAGAGTTTAGGGGCTTATCTTACATTTAGCACCACACCTGAACGACCAGGTGGGAGAGGTAACCAGATGCTTTTTTTCTAAGAAGGTTAGGCTATTAGTACAGCGCCAATGTCCTTCTCTGAAGAAGCTGTTTGTGACTCAGTAAGAGCCAGGTTCGTGGTCTATAACATTCTGTACACAGGCTGCCTTGGAAGAGTGTTCAGAAACTACAACTGGTTTCACATTGGTTGAGCTTGTTGTATGGAGCACATGATTCCAATACTGCTCCACTTTAGTTGGTCAACTAAATTGTTCCCAGGCACAATTCAAAAGAGTTGTGTTGTTTTGTTCTGTTTCTTTTGTTTTCCCTTTTAAAACTGTAAATCATCTAGGTCTAGAATATCTCATGGACTATCTCTCCTTGAATAAATCTCCAAAAGGCTGGATCAACACCAGAAGCTTGTTTGTTTGTTTCCTGCCGCTCGGCAAAGCAACTGCTTACTTACTAGAGTCACACTGTTGCTTTATAGGAGCACTGCAGGAACACTTCCCACCACTCCCCTGCTATGTGCCAATGAGCAAGCACACCCACCTGCCCGCCCACACGGCTCTCACCCCTCCCTCACTGCACATGCCTCCCTGTGCATTGGACTTGCACACACCGCCAGGGGCTGCCTCCCCAGGCCGGCAGAGAGCATCAGCGCAGGTGTCCATGCCAAGGTTGGAGGGAACAGGTCCTTCTGGGAAGAGTTTCCCGCAGGAACACATATGGCCATCTTCCTGGGAGAGTTTTCTGGCTGACCAGAAGGGATGTGTCTGTTGCAGCCCTCAGGAAGGCCAGGAACAAGGCAGGGGTGGCAGGGAGGCAGGAGAGAGGTGGGGGACCCAGTCATGCATGAGCAGAGGGATGAAGCAGCATAAGGCAGCCAATCAGAGCATGGCTGCAGCTGCCTTAAGAGTTACTAGGCAGAATAGATCAAGGAAGAGCTGAGGCTGGAAGCGTGCGCTACTGCCAGAGCCCCTCTTGCTACCAAACTCGATGGCAAAAACTCAGAAAGCACGTGGAAACATTATAACTGGGTCACACATAAAAATGAGGAATGGTGTAACATGGAAACTTTAAAACAGGCCATTGATTCTCTGCGGGGATACATGAAAACCAAATAATCCATGCTTCACCATCCATGCTGAATTCAGACTTGCAGTGCCTCCATGGTTTCCAGAATGGCTTGTTGTTATGTGTGAATACTGCCTTTGTTTTATATTTTGATATCATGGTTTTTATATTAGTTGTCAGCTGCCTAGGCAGAAAGCCAGGCTATAAATAATGTAAATTATTTTTTATGGTATGGTACTTCAGAATCTGCTACCAGATGGAGGCTGCTTCATCATTCCTAATGTTTGTGTTGTTGTTGTTACATTTATTTATACCCCACCTATTCCCAGTGACCAGGAGTCAAGGCAGCTCACAACATTAAAATTCATACAATTAAAACATTCAAAAGTATATGAAAGTTAAAAATATAATTAAATCAATTAAATATTAAAATTGAACCACTATCCAGATGAAAATACTACAAGAAATATAAATAGTAAAACTAACCCAGCACAAACTCACCAGCCATTCCCAAATTCCTGCTGGAATCAAAAAGTTTTTGCCTTCTTATGGAAGGCAAGGAAGTTTCCAGCCTAGTCTCCCCAGGAAGAGAATTCCAGAGCCTTGTGGCAGCCACCAAGCAGGTCCTCGTCTACAGTCCCACCAAGTGTGCCTGCAAGGGTGGTGGGACCAGGAGAAAGATCTTAGAGTCCACACAGGCTCATGCAGGAGAATATGGTCTTTCCCGGACCCAAGCCATATCGGCTTTACCTGTCATTACCAGCACTTTGAATCATGCCTAGAAATAGCCTGGGAGCCAGTGAAGCCTTTCAGCAGAAGAGTCATATGCTCCTGTAATTGCATCAGCTCTACTGGGGTGGAGTTCTTTGAGTTCTTATCACAGGGTCTTCATGCACACAGTGGGTGCTTTCACATTACACTAAGCTGCCCTGAGATTAAGCCACAGTGGTTCCTTTGTTTCTTGATCAAACCATGGCATTCCCAGCGTATGATTAAGAGTACCATGGACTATTCTCACCTTCTTTCTCTCAGTCCTCCAACTGGTCCTTCCCGATGGAATCCATCTGATCTCCCAGTTTGCTATGTCTTTTTGTTCAACACCATCTTTCTTTATATTTTGGAGTCTGAAAAAAGGCCAGTGGGGGCCGTACATTTTCTTTGCAGTGTGAACATAATTATATAAAAAGTGCACAATGTCCTTCACAAGTACATGTGCAATCTTGCTCATCAGTCTCCTTTTCCGCTTCAGCTGTCAAAGGAAGGACAGGGCACACTGCATAAGGGAATGTTTGCCCAATTGCAAGGGACCAACTGCTTCACTGTCAGTAGAAAAGCACAGTAAAAGGCAAAGAGTGGCAAAAGTGGATGCCCTGAAAAGGCCTGGGGGCAACATTAACCCTTATAATCCTCATGCTTTCAGATACTGAACCGACCATTCTCAGTGCTCCCCTTTTTCAACACTTTCCCAAATCTCCAGCTACTCTAGAAAAGGGAGGTATGGATTCTGCCCTTTTGGGACAGGCTTTTTAAAAACTGCACAATTTTCAGGTGCTTGAGAAAATGATAACAATGCTACACCAACTGCACTTTGTTTTGACACTCCAAATATTAAATTAAAACAGGAACAAGTGATGGTCTTTCCAAAGTGCCATTTTGGTACTAGTGCAGGGGTAGTCACCGGTGAGATCGCAAAAGCAAGTGACAGGGCTTGCTGCTCCTGGCAAACTTCTCTCAAGCCATTCTTGACAGTCACTTTGCTGAGTTTAGATGACAAAATAAGCTCAGTAGGCTCCCCTAAAACGAATCACCGTTTCTCAGGATGGCTTGTTCATGGAAAATAATCCTGCCAGAAGAAACCATTCGGAGTCCTGCTGACCAGGTCAGTGAATGTGAATGGATCGGCAGGCATATGTGACATTAGGGTGAAAGAGCCTTCCCCAGCATCATGCCTCCATGTAACGTCTATGCACCCCTGTTTGGCAAGGCTGCTTTCTTCTGTGGAAGCAGAGAACGCTTTGCACATGAGAAAGTCATGCTGGGTCAGAACAAGGGTCCATCTGGTCCAGCACTCTGTTCACACGTTGGCCAACTGGCTACTCAGAAGAAACCCACAAGTGGAATGCAAATACAACAGTACCTCCTGCCCGTGATCTCCAACATCTAGTGTATACAGGCCTGCCATTGCATGCATGGTAATCTTTTCAGCCCTTACAATAAATACCCATAAACTGGGCTGGAGCTATAGGTTGGAATGCTTTGCCCCTTGCCCACGTGTATGCATTCATTGTATGCATGAAGGATGCACGTAAAGGTTTTTGTACTAGCTGTGGTCATGACATGGATCACTGTGCTTTGGCAGGGTTGTACGTGCTGGCCGATCAAGGCACACGGCACTTGGAAAGTTCAGTCTGTGAAACTGCTGGTGCACACAGTTCAGGGAAATGCCCGCATTTCTTTAAGCGTTAGTAAAAATACGAGGAATGGCCCTCAGCACAAAGCATGCAAGGAAATGCTTTGCAACAGGAAGTGTGTGAATGTGGCCAAGAGTCTCGTTACCCTTTTCTCTGATGGCTTCTGACTCCAAAAGAAGCAAGCAAGCAAGCAAAAATCTGCCTATGGAAGCAAGGAACCCTCACACTTTTCCTGTTATGAAACAGCTGTGATGAAATATGTTCATGTAAGCAGGGGAATGTCACAACAAGTTAGTTCTGTATTTTTTGTGAGTGACACAGAGCAGGAAAAAAGAGGGTACATTTCCTAACATCATCAGATCATCATACTACTGTCAACAGATAAATGACCACAGACAACAAATTGTGTGATCCCTGTGGCCTGTTGCCATCACCACCACCTGCACTGCCACTGCACATTTGGGGCTCCAGTGGAGATACAATCAAGGCCCCACATGTGTTCCTATATTAATCCAGATTATCTTGTTTAGAACCCTAATAAAATAATACTGATACTGAATTTTAACAAGGTAAAGCTGTTCTTGCACAGTTTTATAACCCTGTAAGCCTCAGAGGAAATGGTTTGCCTCCCTTCTTACTCTTTAAGCGGCATTCACCACGGGCAATCATTCACCATCTCATTTCAGAGAATTGCATGCACGCTTGCTTCAGTGTCTAAAGGGCACTTTCATTCACCCTTTTTAATGCAGAGAAGAAGTGATATTTATTTGGATAAAGCAAAACAAACAAACCAAACCCTTTTTACTTCTGTATTTGCACTGTTCATTTTCAGCCCAGTGCCATCCAGGAATTATACAGTATGAAAAGAAAAGGGCAATACTTTGTGTAGTGCTTGTGATGAAACTGTGAAATGATACAGCACATTGACAGCCTCATGTAGAGAAGATCTTAGAAAACTTTTATTCAGTGGAGCAAATCTCCATCAGAAAAGTGGGGAAAAGCAGTTGCATTGCCTTCTATCTATTCGTTCCACAATCCTAGCCCCTGCCTGTTCCTTCCACACCATACCAAGAATGAGGTTCAGAGGAAAGCATAAGAAAGGATAGGTGGCATTGTAGTTGTCCTTTCTCTTGTATTTCATGGAGATTTAGCATCATTGTCTGATTAAGGGCCAAAGCCAAGCCTAACCTTTTCCCTCACCCATTACAGCCATCAAGATTCTGATTTTACACAGAGCAAGCAGGTGGAGCAGTGGAAGAACAGAAGTACAGCAGCTGAAGCTTTGCATGATACTTCAAAAGATTTTAAAATGTACGGGCCATCCATGTGTGAGAATTTCCATCTCAAATCCAAATGATGAAGTTTTAGCATACTGCAAATGTTAACTGCTTGGTATAGACTTCAACAGCAATTGTGCATGATCACTGTTAATGTGATGGTCACCACCAGTATTTTCTGCATTTAATTTCCTTCATGTCTATGCCTGGGTTCAGAGAACATGCCAAGCCATGACGGTTTTATATCATTGTTGGTCGTTTGAGTTCTCTGAACCCTGCTGTGGTATTTCACCATGGTAAGTTTGGTCTTCAGAAACCACTGTAAGAAACAATCAAATGGCTTGCCATGTTGTCTGAACGCAGGATTGTGGTTTGCATAGCCCCAGTGTGCAACTGCCGCAGAGGACCCTAGAAAGAGTGGTGATTGCAGGGGTTGCTCAGCCACTGTTTACAAATCTCCTCTACCCAAGTGTACTGTATATACTAAGCCTTAAACTCTTAATAACACTCCATGCATTTGTGAAAGTAAGCTATGAAAGCATATGCTAAAATAAGCATACTGGTCTTTAAAATGGGGTGAATCTCCAGATAGCTCAGCCTACAGCTCCCATCATCAGTCACCACTGGTTATGCTGACTAGAGCTAATGGGACTTGTAGGTCATTAGTTGCCTGCTCCTGCTTTAAGGCACCTTAAAGACTTGTAGACTTTCTTATCAATCTATTTTTCATAACTAGGTTTTCCTTCTCCTGAAAAAGTCATATGAATCCTTTCAAAGAGCCTGTAATCCTGGGCAGGATTAGAAAATTTGTCAATTGACAATGTGGTCAAATCCCATAAATGATTCCCTTTAAACATTGTTTAAAGACAGAAATATACACATTTCCATTTTCAGAAAGGTAGGTAAGTGTTTCAGTTTTCAGAAAGGTGGGCAACTACAGATTTTTGGCAGGAATGATGATAATTGCTTACATACATCCTTCTATATTTGAACAGCCCGCATCCTTCCCATTCATGTACAGTACCACAATGAAACCTGTTCCTTGTCCCTATTAATTAATAATTTCAGGGACAGCTGCCAAATTTCATATTTCCTAGAAGAAGCCACACATTTTGAACTCATTACATTTTTGTGAATTTCAGCTGAAAGCTTAATCTGCCTTGCTTCTCTTCCCATGTTTGAAGTTTTGTTGATGATACTGTTTGGTAGAGGAGCTGCATGTGCAAACCCAGATATATGCTTCCCCACATTAACTAAGACACAACAAAGCATATCCTTTTGCTAAAATGTACATTCGTAAAGTGAACAGTTTTCTCATGCTAGTGTGATTCTGCTAGTGTGATTGCAAGCTCAGACGTATGTAAGTTTTGCTTCCAAAATGTGCTTTTGTTTGGGGATGTGAAGAAGAACATTCTGGTAAAAACTAACAAATAAATTGACATTCCCTTATATGCCTCCTCCTTCTCCCCTTTCTGATTACTGCCACCTTGTGCCCCTTTTCTCCAACTATAGGCTGCTTCACTAGCCACTCCATTTGTCCCGTTCTCTACTGATTGTTGATATCACAAAGGCATACTCAGTACTGTGATGCGGAGACAATCCAGGCCCAGTCTCTTCAAGTGTCAAAAGTAGCCTTTTTGTTAGTAACATGGCCCACCTGTGCTAAGACATGCTCACGGATGTTTATTACCCTCTCTGCATTTACGTTTTATGCACAACTGAGCCGTTAAGATATTTTTGTTGAACATTGGCCTAATAGGTAACAGCTGAAGAACAAAGATCATTATTATACCAACATGTTTGTCTCATTCTTACATTTAGAAATAAGTGTCTGCCAGATCAAAGCTCCATTCTGAAGAAGGATGCCTCAAGCTAGCCCATTTGTCTTGATGTGCAGAAACCAATCAATTCCCATAGCACAACATCTGTTAAATTCCACACTGGAATCGCTGCAAAGCACTGTGATCAGCACCACCTTGCCTGTCCTCTTCTCAGTTATCTTCAGCATCAGTATTCCTCTGAATTGTGTCTCCTTGTGGTTCCTTTGGAGGTATTCAAGGCCTTGGACTCCTACCATAGTGTTTTGCCTTAACCTCACCATCGCAGACTTGGCCTACACCCTGATCCTCCCCTTTCAAATAGTTTACTATTTAAAAGGAAATGTTTGGCTCTTTGGTGATGCGTTCTGCCGCATTGTCACACTTCTGTCCTATGGAAACATGCACAGCTCAACGTTAACCATGATGAGCATAAGCATAGAGCGCTACCTGGGCATTGTTCACCCTTTGAGCTACAAAGCCCTAAGATCCACTAGAACTGCTGTTCTGATATGTTTCATCATTTGGGTACTTGTTTTACCACCTCTCATTCCTTTGATGCATAATAACTTAACTTTTTGTGTAAAGGAGTTATCGATGATTACCTGCTTTGACATTTTGCCAAGAGACATGTTTAGAAGCTTAGAACACTTCATCAGTTACTTTGGTGCTCTGATATTTTTCTTCTTTTTGATACCTTTGCTCATCATGGGATTTTGCTACATTTCAATCATCTTAACCCTTCTTCATTCCTCTTCCACGCAACTGAGAGAAACAAAAAAGCAAACAGTTTATTTGATAATCGTGTTGCTATTGGTGATCACAGTATGTTACATGCCTCACATTATCATGTCAGTTACCCATTTTGTACTCTATTTCCAAAAAGAATCATTTTATATGGGTTATAAACTATCGTTTGCAATAGTCGGTTTCAATTGCTGCTTTGACCCATTGGTTTATTACTTTGGCTCCCACAACTTTCGACAAAACATAAGGGAGAAGCTTTGCAGATGTGTGACTGTTGGTTTGAGTGAAAATACTCCTATTTTTTCAGAGCACGACATGCAAATAGCACCAATACAACATATACCAAGGGTGTAGGGTGCATGTCCTGGGAAGGTAATTTGCTTTCCCAATACACTGAATAGTTGTGAAGTTTTGGAGCCATTTTCTTGTAGAACTTTAGTGAAAAATTATACAGAAAATGTTCCAAAACAGCTCTGGGAGACTAAATGAAAAATTAACATCAGCTGTGATTCTCCAGGTACAAAACTGATGTCAAAGTTCAGACTAGTGTGAATAGGTACAATTCTTTAATCAAGTTCTAACCATGACTTTGCAACTAACAAGAAATTTCTCAGGTTAGTAGCATATTGCAAAGCATTATGACCAGGAAAAAAAATACTGAACTACCTCTGACTGTTCAGAAACTATGGATCAAATATTAACAGAGAACATGGTTGAACAGAAGAAGATGTTTTACAACCAGTTTTCTGGGAAGTTGTAACTTACCCTAATCATCAGCCAAAAGATGTAGCTATTGGGACCACTAAGTTTTTGTAATACTGTTATTTTTTTTAATATTGGCCAACAAACCATGCATATACAATGTTAAATGTATTTTGTATAAAGATTAACAGCATTTATAATGATACTGCATATGTCATTCTTAAAATATTCAATTGTATAGTTCTAATAAAATAATGTATATTGTGTCTACATTCTCATCTCAATCAACTTAATTTGATTTTCCTTGTTGCCCAGTGAACACTGTAGGGCAGAGTTGGGCCCCTTATGTGTTGCATCTATATCCCAGCATTTCTCCTCTTTCAGGAAGCCCAGAGTGGTTTATGTAACACTCCTTCGCTCCATTTTATCCTCACGACAACCTCGTGAGATGGGTTGGGCTAAGGGTGAGTGGCTGGCCCGAGATCACCAAGGGAGCTTCATCGCCAAGTGGTAACTAGAACCCAGATCTCCAAATCCTGGTCCAACATGCTCACCACCATACAGCACAGGCTCTCCACTTGTGGTCTTGCACGAATTTTTCCCTATTACTCTCATCAGTGCTATTCAGCGTATTCAGCGGTGAGGGTAAGGGGGGCTGAAGGCCGAAACACCTGGAGAACAACAAGCTGCCCACCTCTGTTCGAGGGATGTAAGTGAGAATTCAGGGCCAATTTATGTAGGCCATTGAATCAAGTGCCAAATCTATTCCGGGGCCATACCACTTCAAATTAAAGACTTAGACATTCCGTCTACTTCTCTTTGAAACAAATGAGAAAAAAGCATGTCAGGAAGTAGGGTGTTCCTGCCATCTGCAGGCAAAAATGATACAGCCCCAAAATACGTAGTTTTATTCCTTTTTTTTCTTCTGATTTAGCAGTTGCATCTCAGTTATAACATAAAATCATGGGATAGGTACAAGGATCACTGACACATCACCAAAAAATAGGAAGCCAATTTGCATAACAGTTGTTTAAATATGTGTGTGGGTAGACATTTATTTATTATTATTATTTAAACAGTAATACAACACAACATAGTACTCCAGCATAGTTGTGATCTAGGTGCCAGCTCAGACTGCTGTCTGGGTATTGACCAATATTCAGATATATATTTTATCAGAAATCTATAAAGCAAAATTTGTGACATGTAAACAACAGTACAATTCCAATTTCTTAACAGCATGTACTGCATGCATACAAAAAGGTTGTTCAGAGTATTTGCAAGAGCAACATAAGAAAACCCCTCAGGATGCTTTAGGAGTCTTTCTCTACAGACAAGCAAGGGGAATCTCTTGCCAGGTCTGTAGCTTGTGCCTGTTAAAAATTAAGGATATTTTCAGTCAATCGATCCCAGGCCATGGGCATTCTCCATTCTGCAGAGTCTCTCCGGCTGCTGGCTACATGTCATCTCCTGGAAACAACTTCACTAGGATGCCATCTAGACTGGCCTTAGAATAACTGCCTTGGTCACTTCAAGATAGGAAAACTAGGGATGAGAAGGAATCCTACTCTATTGCAAAATGCATTGTTCTGTTGAATTTTTGTTACAAGAGGTCATGCTTTTCCTCTTCTAGCAAAAGGTAAAACATTATCATTTGTTACAGATTTTGGACCCACTGTATCTTTGCTTCAGCTCTTACATCAGAAGTGTAATGAATGGTTATTCATTGTGCCTGGATTGTATCAGCTGTTCCTCATCACCCGCCTCCTAATTGTGACCTATGCTGCCTCCCTTAGATAGCCCTACCTTGTCGGAGGATCTTTTATAATTTACAAATATCTGTTCCTTCAACACAGCCTAGATGGGAGACACCCTGGGAAGCAGATGTAAGATGCTCTGAACTACCTGGAGAAAGAGTAGATTATGATTAATCAAGAACAACTTTTTACATAATCACTTTTGACCCATCACTTTCCTAAAAGTGCAGGAGGACGGTCCACAGTGGACACTCACACAGGTTCTATCAACCAAGATCTACATTTTAGGAAGGCTTGCAGTGATTTAATGCAACCTTCCATGTTTCACACTGCAGAAGGAAGTTCTCCTCCAATAGACTGGCCTGGTTCATGTGTAACAAGAAGCCTCCACAGGTGAATTTCCCCAGGGTGCTCTTGTTGCAGTGGCCATTTTGAATATTTGGGGAAAGGTAGGGACACACCTTAGGGTTGCTTGGTGTGCAAAACTGGTACCAGTGGGTTGTTGGAGTGGTTGACAAGCAATCCAGAGTGAAGGAGCTGTTTCTGGGTTGCAGGTGGCTTGACAACCACTGTAGAAGCCCACCTGTACCAGGCCCACATGTAATGAGAAGCTACAGTGCACCCTTGCTGTGCCCCAAATATTCAAAATGACAGCAGCTTTTGCAATCAAAAATTGCATGGGGAAATTCACCCACTGCAGGTCCAGATTACATGTAAACCAGGTCAATCCATCTGATCCACTGAGCTGTTGCAGGGAGTTGCAATACTCATTGGATGTCTTACCACTGATCTCAGTGTGGTGTGAATTTCCCTGTGAATTCAGGGAACGGAAAACAGAAAGCTCAAGAACAGCTGCTTGAGATGCAATAGTGCACTTTCTCAACAATACAGCAGTGGAACCAGCTGCCTAGAGAGGTGGTGGGCTTTCCCACACTAGAGACATTCAAAAAGAAACTGGACAGTCATCTGAGTGGGATGGTGTAAACTGGTGTTCTGCAACAGCAGGGGGTTGGACTTGATGGCTTCATGGCCCCTTCCAATTCTATTATTCTATTATTTTATTATTTTATTATCTACCACCTCTTTCCCCACATCTGTCATTTCCCTGCGTAAGTGCAGCACCAGGACATGGAGCACCAGGACCAGAGGTGCTGGAGAAGAATGGAGATATTGGCAAGGTGCAGGAGGAGCAGAGGCAAAGTCCAAATACATACAGATAACAGCAAGGTGATACAGGACCAGAAGAAAGGGTAGCATCTAGATACAGACTGAGGTCAGCCAGCAGCAAGGCAAAGCAGGGGCAGAGATGGAAGCACAGTCCAGAAGCAAGCTGAGGTACCTGGCAGGGCCAGGGCCATGGTAGATCCAGCATGAGTCAGAGTATAACTGAAGGCAAGGAAAGACTAGGCGCTGGATCAACCATTATGCAACCACTATGAAGGTCTTCATTACTATGGCAAAATTGAATACCCCTGGGAAGCCTTTATGGAGACTTCCAAAGTTCCTGGGTGCACCACTTGAAGCACAAGCTCCATTCCTTTCAAGGACCTTCAGGTCTGCTCCTGGTCCTCCACATACCTACAAGATAAATCTTGCTGCTCTTCAGCATTATGACAGCAAAGGGAGCTGTTCCAAGGCTTCAAATCCTGACAACAGGATGCTCTGCATCATCCTTCCCCCATCGGGTCTCTCAAGACAGTGGTCTTGCTGGATGGGAATTTTAGGATCCAATACCTCTAGAGGACACCGTATTGCCAAAGGCTTCTCTAGATCTGTGGTTTGCCTCCCAGGGGCATTACCCTGGAAAACTGCTACACAGAAACCTCCAAAATACATCTAAGCCAGTGTATCATTTCCTCAACTGTTTTTATTTTAAAATTTTCTGTTTTGCCTTCTGGCAACTTAATGGTGAACTCTTATCCTCAAGTAACAAGAGAAGAGAAGATCTTTAGTAAATTCCATTCAACAAGGATTTCCCAGCCATCTTGGTCTCCTGGCCATATTTGGGAATTTGAGAAACTGCTGCAGGCAGCACCAAAAAATGACTCCATGAAGGATGTGGCTAGTCCCAAATGGCTTATGTGGGGATCTGGCTAGTCAAAAGCCATGTAACTCACCCAGGAGTACACACAGGAAAAGATCCTGAACTCCAAAGCCAGTCTAAATGTTTGATGCCACAGTCCAGCAAGGGAGAAGCAGCAAAGAGGTGCAGATGGGATGAAAATAACAAGTCTAGAGAGGAATAGCAAGGCAAAGGGTTAGGGGGATGAGAAAGAGGAAATCTAGAGGCTGGGAAGGGAGAGAAACTATGAAATAAAGAGATGTGGGAGAGAAATAGCAGGGGAGATTGGTGATGGACCTATTTTGGGAACAGAGTTTAGCACTGTGGATTGATCTTATGAAGCGCAAAAGAAACCCTGCAATGGCTGAGTCACCAGTTTCCCCTGGAAAGTAGCAAGGCTGGTGGTAGTGGGGAGAAACAGGAATGAATGGGAGAAAGATTATGGCTAGAAAGGGAGAGAGGGAAGAAAGATAGGGATGGGGAAAGGAGAGAAATAATGGTGCAAGGAGTTGTGCAGAGAGAAGTACTGAAGCTATCGGCTGGAAGTGGATGGTAAAAAAGAGTAAGTGAGCAAAGGCAGAAAAATGGGGGTGGGGGACAGAAAAAGAAAACCAGGTCTCTCTTTTCTGTTTTTAAATTAGAAATACAATAGAAACATAGAGCAGAGCGAGTCGGAAGGGGTCTCCCGGGCCATCTAGTCTGACCTCCGGCTCCAGTCGGCTCCTCTCACAACATGCCCACCATGTGCATGTCCAGCCTATCTTTGAACACCCTCACCAAGGGGGCCTCAACCACCTCCAGTGGAAGCCCATTCCACACCCTTGGGGTCCTAATGGTCAGCAAGTGCTTCCATTCCCAGTTCATGTGGACAGAGAGTTGAGTTTTGTGGCCACTGTTGGAAGTCGTTGAAGGTACCATGCTGGGGAAGCCAGTGACCTATTTCTCTCCCTGCCTCTTACCCCACTGTTTCTCTCCCTGCCTCACTTCAGTGGGATCAAATATGTAGACTGGTTTTGGAGTTCAGACTCTACCTGGAGTCTTTGTTTTACTGTTCAGTGACTTGCCTTTTGACTAGCCAGACCATCCACAGCAGCCTCTAAATGATGCCACTAAATGATTCCAAGGATGCCATTTTGTGGTGATGCCCAAAGCAGCTTCTTATGTCCTCAGATGTGCCTGGGAGTCTAAAATGGTTGGAGACTCCTGAGCTATATAATTTTATATCATTCTGTTTGTGCATTTTTGGGCATTGCTCAAAATCAATCCCACATATTTATGAGCATTGTAGCTACTGTACAGGGAAACATTAAGGAGTTTGCATAGCAGTTTAAACTGTTATCAAGAGATTTATTTCCCTACACACCCTTTTCATGACCTACTTGTTTTTTAATACTCAACCTCATTAAAAAAAATGCCAGAGGAAGGAAACACTACACCCAACAACTCATATT